TCACTGAGGACGGATGTGGGCTGAGTCAGGGGGCAGACTTGGCTCCTTTAAGGTGGGGCTCTCCATGCTGAGCTGAGCAAACGAGTGGGTGCCCATGACTGGCCGTTGGGGTGGCCAGAGAGGGTCTTGCTCTGTTACCCGACCTTTCCCATCTGTCGTTTCTCCCCAGCTTTGCCATGTGTCACCCCAATGCATGGACGCTGCCCTGTCTGTGCTGGGACCAGCTGTGTCCAGCTCTGTGTCCGCGAGTCCACGGGAGGGCAGGATGTGGGAGAGCTGCAGCTCGGGCTCCGTGGGAACCGTGTGGCCCCTGAGCACCTTCACCTCCAGGCCTCCCGTAATGCGCATCCCCGGTCGTCAGGCCTCCGCACAGAACTCTCCAGCCCCTGTCCCCGCACCTGGGCATGCTCGCCCTTGAGGGAGTCCCAGCCGGGCATCGCCGGGTGCCGTCCTGCTTTAGGGGTGGGCTCCCTTGCTGCTCCAACGACGATTTTCAGGACTGGAGAGAAGGGGAAGAGAAAAGGAAAGAAAGGGAGAGACGGATCCCTAAAGAGTGCAGAGACTTTAAGAAAGACTAAAATAAGGGCCTCACCCTGGAGTCTTACTTTGTCTCTCACCCACGTGACCGTCGGGGTGACCTACGCCTCAGGCTCCTGCCCCGCCCTCTCAGGGTGTTGCCCCGGTCCTGACGGCTCGTCACTCCCGTGCTCCAGCCAATGGGAAGGGGGAGGAGGGAGGAGAGGGGCGTGACCAGGAAGTTTTGCATCAGTGGCCACACTCCCCGCAAAGGAGGTTGGGATGTGTAGTTTTAACGGAGTGGCCATGGCCTAACTACAAATTCTTTTTAAAAGAACTGTTTATTTAATTTTATTTAGTCATTCACTTATTTCAACATTTCAACCTGCCTGGTTGGCCACGTGGGAGTGTCCAGCGCCTCAACCACCACGCCACCTGCTTGTCCCCAAGCCTAACTAAAAATTCTATAGACGGGAGGTTGTGTGTAAGGTGACAACTACTGCTCTGCATGGTAACTTTTTTCTTAAGAATTATTTTATTTTATTTATTATTTTTATTATATTTAAAGGAATTATTTAACTTAATTTATTCATTCATTTATTTTAATTTGACCAGAGAGAGATGGGGAGAGGGAGAGAAAGAGAGAAAGCAAGGCACCAGGTCTGGGACTTGAACCGTGGCCAGCCATGTAGGAGTGTCCAGCACCTTAGCTACCATGCCACCTGCTAGTCTCCTATTTTTATTATTTTTAATTTGAGCAGAACCAGAGACAGAGAGAGAGGGAAAGTGAGGGCAAGCTTCTGGGTCTGAGACATGAACCATGTCAGCCATGTGGGGGTCCCAGTGCCTTAACCACCACACCACCTGCCAGCCCCTGCTGTGGTCACTTTGTAGCTGTTGTGGTGACCTGCATGGCGTCTCATTGCCTAGACCTTCTGGATATAGCAGATGCAGGGCCGGCAGGTGGCATAGTGGTTAATGGTGCTGGACTCCCACATGGCCGACTGCGGTTCGGGTCCCAGAGCTGT